GCATTCAGCACCGCAACTCCATAATCTCAGACGTGGTCCCTTTAAGAAGATGACCCTCTGATGGTGGCATCTATTGGGCCATCACTGTACAGAGCCAGCAGGTGAATATACGTGGCTGTATGGAACATGGGCTCACCAGCAAAAGCCAGATAAAATATGCACAGTGTAGTAGTTTTATTATGAAATTTACGAGTGAAAGCAAACAAGCACAAACTCACAATGATGACCACTGCATACAGGACCATGTCATGCGGCGGCATGACATCAGCATTCTTGGCTCTACCAAACACGTTCTTGCTAAAGCGCATCTTATGGGGTTTTTTGTTTTTTTTTTGGGGGGGATGGGGATTTGTGTGTTTTTTAAAGGAGAAATGCTTCCTTATTTGAACTAGTACAGATATTGCTTCTATAGAATTTATCACGTTATATTTAATATCAACATTTTATGTTTGACACTTAAAGAACTATTGGTATGGAATTACAGTTGCTTTAATTGTGGTTGATATTTATATTTTTATGTTTAACTATATTCACATTCTTTTGAGCGCTGCACTAGTTGCGTAAGATATATTCGCACAGACATTTTAGGAGAACAGTAAACTTAAATGATCTAATTTTTAGATGACATCCCATCCTCCTTTTGAAGCCTTTTTCAGCCAAAATGTATTTCTTGAGTGGAGAAAAGTCTGTTAGGTTTTTTTTGCCATTTGGGGAGAGTCTACTTCACTTACTGTCCTGGTGTTCACAACAGAGAAGGAGAATATTACTTAATAGGGTTACAAAGGTTGCAATAAAACACCTGATCTCCCCTACTATATAAAACCTTTTATCCTAATTATACAGTAGCAGACACAGGCAGAGTTTTCATACACCATGAGTCTGTACCTTCAGGTGACTGGGCTATATTTAAAATGTATTCCTTTCCCAGTGTTAACCTTTCAAAACTGGTGGTACAATTTTTTTTATCACCCCACTGGTCACACACTTTACTTCCACTTCTGCCTAGTTCCCCTATAAGGTACTCTGGCACTTCTTCCCACCCTTTTACTACAAGGATTTCTACAGGACATGTTCTACACAATGGTTACCGCATACTCCTTTTGGACACACCCTATTCTTTGCACCCTACTCCATGTGTACCCCACAGGGGAATACTCTCACTAGTGTCTAAGTGAAAGGGAACCAATACAAAATTGCAGGTGAGCACTGACCCTGCTAAAGGCCCACAAAACACTCGGCCTCAGAGTGATAATGCATTATTTGCATCGGAGCAAGGTCTGGCTATAACACTTATTATTATTATTATACAGTATTTATATAGCGCCAAAAGGTTTTCTCAGCGCTGTACATTATAGTGGGGGACAGTACATGAGACAATACAGTAACAAAACAATATATGAGGGGTTTCGAGGGCCCTGCTCTTTCGAGCTTACAATCTAGGAGGGAGGGGATAGTGGCACAGGAGGGAGGGGATAGTGGCACAGGAGGAAGTGGCTGTGGGGGATGCAGTGGTAGGAGGAGTAGAGGAGATCGGCAGTTAGGTGAGGGTGGGGTAGGCTTCCCTGAAGAGATGGGTTTTCAGGGTGTGCCTAAAGGTGAGGAGGGTAGGTGACAGTTGTCTGGATTGGGTAGTGAGTTCCAGAGGATGGGGGAAGTCCTGGAGAAGTCCTGCAGTTGGGCGTGGGAGGTCTTGTGAGGAGCGAAGATTACGGGTTGGGTGGTATTTGGGTATCAGGTCAGTGAGGTAGTTTGGGGCAGCGTTATGAATGGCTTTGTATGTCAGTGTTAGTAGTTTGAATTTGATGCGTTGGGCAATCAGGAGCCAGTGGAGGGAATGACAGAGGGGGGAGGCAGAAGGGGAGTGGTTGGTAAGGTGGATGAGTCTGGCCGCTGAGTTCAGGATAGACTGAAGCAGAGATAGTCTGTGATGAGGTAAGCCGGTGAGTAGGGAGTTGCAGTAGTCCAGGCGTGAGATGAGGGAGTGAACGAGTTGTTTAGTAGTGTCTGGTGTTAGGAACGTACGTATTTTGGAGATGTTGCGGAGGTGGAGCCTGCATGAGCTAGCTAGTGATTGAACATGGGGTTGGAAGGACAGGTTTGAATCTAGAGTGACACCTAGGACTTTGGCTTGCGGGGTGGGACTGATGGTGGGCATCGTTGGTCGGGATGGAGAGGGTGGGGGGGGGGGGGGGCGCAGGCTGGGGGGAAAATTAGGAGCTCGGTTTTGGAAAGATTCAGTTTGAGGAAGTGGAGCGACATCCAGTCTGATATGTCGTTCAGCAGGTGGGTGATACGGGCGGAGACTGAAGGGGTGAGTTGAGGGGTGGAGAGGTAAATTTGTGTGTCGTCATCGTAGAGGTGATAGTTGAAGCCGTGGGAGTGTATCAGTTTGCCAAGGGAGGAGGTGTAGATGGAGAAGAAAAGGGGCCCGAGGACAGAGCCTTGGGGGACCCCAACAGAGGGGAGAAAAGGGGGAGGTGGTAGCGTTATAGGTAACGCTGAAGGAGCGTTGGGAGAGATAGGAGGAGAGCCAGGAGAGAGCGGAGTCTCTGATGCCGAGGGAGTGTAGTTTATCAAGGAGGAGGGGGTGGTCAACTGTGTCGAAGGCCGCAGAGAGGTCAAGGAGTAAGAGGACTGAGTAGTGGCCATTCGCTTTGGCAGGTCATTAGTGATTTTGAGTAGGGCGGTTTCGGTTCAGTGTAGGGGACGGAAGCCAGACTGTAGTGGATCAAGGAGGTTGTTGTCAGTGAGGTGGGAGCTTAGGCGATTGTAGATTAAGCGCTCAAGGAGCTTGGAAGTGAATGGCAGCAGGGAGATGGGTCTAAGGTTGTTCAGGTCAGTGGGGTCCAAGGAGGGTTTTTTAAGTATGGGGGTGATGTGCGCGTGCTTTATGGGTGAGGGGAATGCACCAGTAGAGAGGGAAAGATTGAAGATCTGGGTGAGGGAGCGTAGGATGGAGGGGGAGGGTGCCCCGGAGGAGTTGTGTGGGGACAGGGTCAAGAGGGCAAGTGGTGAGGCGGGCTTCTGAGAAGACCTTGGTGACCTCCTCAGTGGTGGCAAGGCTGAAGGAGCGGAGTGTTGGGGAGGTTATAGTGTGCGGGATGTTAAGGGTGGTGGGGGGGGCAGGGCGGTTGCGAGGTCAGAGGAGGGGAGAGTTGGAGGGGTTGTTGAGGGAGGGAGGGAGGCTAGGTGGGGAGGTAGGTGGAGCATTGGCAATGTTCTTACGGATTGCGTTGATCTTATTTTGGAAGTGAATGGCAATCTCATTGGCGGTGAGTGAGGTACTGGGTGGGGTGGGGGGAGAGTAGGGAGTTGAAAGTGGAGAAGAGCCGGCAAGGATTGGAGGAGAGAGGGTGTTGATGGGGGTTACAAAATAGGCTTGTTTGGCGGCGTGGAGGGAGGAGGTGTAGGTGAGGAAGGCGGATTTGTAGAGGGAGAATGCTTGAGGGGAACACAGATCTCAGTATCTGATTCTAGCTCAATTTTAGGTACAGTGGGGATCGAAAGTTTGGGCACCCCAGCTAAAAATTTGTATTAATGTGCATAAAAAAGCCAAGGAAAGATGAAAAAATCTCCAAAAGGCATCAAATTACAGATTAGACATTCTTATAATATGTCAACAAAAGTTAGATTTTATTTCCATCATTTACACTTTCAAAATAACAGAAAACAAAAAAAATGGCATCTGCAAAAGTTTGGGCACCCTGCAGAATTTACAGCATGCACTGCCCCCTTTGCAAAGCTGAGACCTGCCAGTGTCATGGATTGTTCTCAATCATCGTCTGGGAAGACCAGGTTATGTCAATCTCCAAAGGTTTTAAATGCCCAGACTCATCTGACCTTGCCCCAACAATCAGCACCATGGGTTCTTCTAAGCAGTTGTCTAGAAAACTGAAACTGAAAATAGTTGACGCTCACAAAGCTGGAGAAGGCTATAAGAAGATAGCAAAGCGTTTTCAGATGTCAATATCCTCTGTTCGGAATGTAATTAAGAAATGGCAGTCATCAGGAACAGTGGAAGTTAAAGCAAGATCTGGAAGACCAAGAAAAATATCAGACAGAACAGCTCGTAGGATTGGGAGAAAAACAATTCAAAACCCACATTTGACTGCACGATCCCTCCAGAAAGATCTGGCAGACACTGGAGTTGTGGTACACTATTCCACTATAAAGAGATACTTGTACAAATATGGTCTTCATGGAAGAGTCATCAGAAGAAAACCTCTTCTACGTCCTCACCACAAAAAATCATCGTTTGAACTTTGCAAATGAACATATAGACAAGCCTGTGTCAGGGCTACCAGGTATGACCAGAGGTGTGTGACTGACGCAGGGAAACGCAGACTTCAGATATGTTATAACAATGTAATTTATTAACCCTAACAATACAAACATAAACGCAGTGCAATACTAAAACATAACACAGTGCAAACAAACCAAACCAACCACCCACAGATAACAGTACATACAATGCAAGCGTAGTCAGGCAGGCCGGGTCAATAACAATCGGGCAGGTAGGTACAGGGGGAGCAAGCGGAGAATGGTCGGGGTCACAAGCCAGGTTCAGCAGGTAGCAGGCAGAGTGGTACAGAGGGTCAGGCAGAGGGATGGTCAGGAGCGAGCCGGGGTCAGAGCAGGAGAAGTCAGCAGAGGTCAGATCAGGCAGGGTCAGCGACAAGACAGGAACAGGATGCAGGAACAGGATACAGGGCCCAGGAAAAACACAACACCAAGGCAGAGTCTGCAGGTCTGAATGTCCCTTAAATACACCAGTATAATTAGTTCCAGGTGTTTGACTGGCTGCAAGGTTGAGTCTCTGATTGCTGGGAGCACCCGCTGGCCAGCCCTGGTACTGCAGCTCATAAGGCAGGCGAGTCCCACTATTGCTGGCCAGTCCATTCCTGACAGTACCCCCCCTCAAGGAGCGGCCTCAGGACGCTCCAAACAGTCCTAGCTGGGCAAAATGTTCCACCGCTCGGGTCTGGTAACTGGCGGGATATCAAAGACTGGCACACCGGGCAGGACTCCGGGCAGCGGCACACCGGGCAGGACTCCGGGCAGCGGCACACCGGGCAGAGGCACACCGGGCTGGACTCCGGGCAGAGGCACACCGGGCTGGACTCCGGGCAGAGGCACATCGGGCTGGACTCCGGGCAGAGGCACATCGGGCTGGACTCCGGGCAGAGGCACATCGGGCTGGACTCCGGGCAGAGGCACATCGGGCTGGACTCCGGGCAGAGGCACATCGGGCTGGACTCCGGGCAGAGGCACATCGGATTACCAGGCGAAGCAGCAGGCACCGGCCACCGGGCGGAGCAGCAGGCACCGGGCCCCCAGGCGGGGCGACGGGCACCGGGCCCCCAGGCAGGGCACCGGGCCCCCAGGCGGGGCGACGGGCATCGGGCCCCCAAGCGGAGCGGCGGGCGCCGGGCCCCCAGGCGGGGCGACAGGCATCGGGCCCCCAGGCGGGGCGACAGGCATCGGGCCCCCAGGCGGGGCGGCGGGCGCCGGACCCCCAGGCGGAGCGACAGGTCTCGGGCCCCCAGGCGGAGCGGCGGGCGCCGGACCCCCAGGCGGAGCGACAGGTCTCGGACCCCCAGGCAGAGCGACAGGTCTCGGGCCCCCAGGCGGAGCGGCGGGCGCCGGACCCCCAGGCGGAGCGACAGGTCTCAGGCCCCCAGGCGGAGCGGCGGGCGCCGGACCCCCAGGCGGAGCGACAGGTCTCAGGCCCCCAGGCGGGGGGGGGCGACAGGTCTCAGGCCCCCAGGCGGAGCGGCGGGCGCCAAACCCCCAGGCGGAGCGGCGGGCGCCGGACCCCCAGGCGGAGCGACAGGTCTCGGGCCCCCAGGCGGAGCGGCGGGCACCGAGTCACCAGGCAGGACAGTGGGCTCCGAGTCAACTGGCAAGACTGCGGGCACCGAGTCAACTGGCAAGACTGCGGGCACCGAGCCAACTGGCGGAACAGCGGGCTTCGAGTCGTCTGGCAAGACTGCGGGCACCGAGTCGTCTGGCAAGACTGCGGGCACCGAGTGAACTGGTGGAACAGCGGGCATCGAGTACACTGGCGGAACAGCGGGCTTCGAGTCGTCTGGCAAGACTGCGGGCACCGAGTCGTCTGGCAAGACTGCGGGCACCGAGTCGTCTGGCAAGACTGCGGGCACCGAGTCGTCTGGCAAGACTGCGGGCACCGAGTCGTCTGGCAAGACTGCGGGCACCGAGTCGTCTGGCAAGACTGCGGGCACCGAGTCGTCTGGCGGAACAGCGGGCACCAAGTAGTCTGGCACCGGATTTTCTGGCTCAGCGGGCATCGGGTCACCAGGCCTAATAGGATCATCAGACTGGATCAGTTCATCATGCTGGGTAGAGGCATCAGGCTGAGCAGAGGCATCAGGCTGAGCAGAGGCATCAGGCTGAGCAGAGGCATCAGGCTGAGCAGAGGCATCAGGCTGAGCAGAGGCATCAGGCTGAGCAGAGGCATCAGGCTGAGCAGAGGCTTCAGGCTGAGCAGAGGCTTCAGGCTGAGCAGAGGCTTCAGGCTGAGCAGAGGCTTCAGGCTGAGCAGAGGCTTCAGGCTGAGCAGAGGCTTCAGGCTGAACCACGGAAGGCAGGTTCTCAGATGGCAGGCTGACCGGTTTGGATACTGGCAGGATGGTATTGGTTGGAAAGAATTTTCGCTTTTTTCTGGTTTTAACTACTGGAGCACTGCAAGTAAACGCAGGTCTGCAAACGAATGGAGCAGCTGGAGACAGAGAAGAGCTGGAGGATGGAACAGGGGAGGGAGCAGTTGCTACAGAGGGCTTTTTTACAGGGTTAAAGGCAGGATAGGTGCAGCGAGTGGGAACAGGGGACTGACATGCGGTAGATAGCAGGGCAGGAGGAGCTGTTGGGAATGCAGGAATAGAGCTTTGAGGAAATAGATTAGAAGCAGGACTGGGTTTTTGTAAGCTGACTGAGGCTGGGTGCAACAAATCTGTCCATGTCTGCAGTATGGGTTGAACAAAGCTGAGCTTACACAAAGCCTGTCTGACCAATGACTGCACTGCGTTTATACAATCTCTTAGTATCTGTGGTGAACATGCAGCATAATGCTCCAAGAAGCAATCCACATCATCCTCTAATAACCATACCAGGGACTCTACCTGGTCAGCACTAAATGGCGGCAAAAATTCATCCCTGCATTCGGGGGGTACCAGATGAAACCAACTCCGCACAAACCTGAATCAATGGCTGCACCTCAGAGAACTCTGTGCCCTGATCTACTAGAACATGAGCGAGCCGTATACATTCTATCAGTTCATCCCGGGGATACTCCTTCAGAGTTTGATAAGCATACTCTCTGTCATCAAACACTAGCAGATATAAATACACAACCTCATCAAGATCCATCCTTCCCATCAACAAACCAAGATGGCTTCCCTGTGCAGCCACTTCTGGTCAGGATTGGCCTTGGTGTAATGTCAGGGCTCCAGGGTGGGACCAGAGGTGTGTGACTGACGCAGGGAAACGCAGACTTCAGATATGTTATAACAATGTAATTTATTAACCCTAACAATACAAACATAAACGCAGTGCAATACTAAAACATAACACAGTGCAAACAAACCAAACCAACCACCCACAGATAACAGTACATACAATGCAAGCGTCGTCAGGCAGGCCGGGTCAATAACAATCGGGCAGGTAGGTACAGGGGGAGCAAGCGGAGAATGGTCGGGGTCACAAGCCAGGTTCAGCAGGTAGCGGGCAGAGTGGTACAGAGGGTCAGGCAGAGGGATGGTCAGGAGCGAGCCGGGGTCAGAGCAGGAGAAGTCAGCAGAGGTCAGATCAGGCAGGGTCAGCGACAAGACAGGAACAGGATACAGGGCCCAGGAAAAACACAACACCAAGGCAGAGTCTGCAGGTCTGAATGTCCCTTAAATACACCAGTATAATTAGTTCCAGGTGTTTGACTGGCTGCAAGGTTGAGTCTCTGATTGCTGGGAGCACCCGCTGGCCAGCCCTGGTACTGCAGCTCATAAGGCAGGCGAGTCCCACTATTGCTGGCCAGTCCATTCCTGACAGCCTGATGCATTTTGGAAACAAGTTCTGTGGACCGATGAGGTTAAAATTGAACTTTTTGGCCGGAATGAGCAAAGGTACGTTTGGAGAAGAAGGGGCACAGAATTTAATGAAAAGAAACTCTGTCCAACTGTTAAGCATGGGTTTGGATCAATCATGCTTTGGGGTTGGGTTGCAGCCAGTGGCACAGGGAACATCTCACGAGTAGAAGGAAAAATGGATTCAATAAAATTTCAGCAAATTTTGGATGGTAACTTGATGCCATCTGTGAAAAAGCTGAAGTTAAAGAGAGGATGACTTCTACAAATGGATAATGATCCTAAACACACCTCGAAATCCACGGGGGATTACATCAAGAGGCGTAAACTGAAGGTTTTGCCATGGTCTTCACAATCTCCTGACCTCAACATAATTGAAAATCTATGGATAGACCTTAAAAGAGCAGTGCGTGACAGACAGCCCAGAAATCTCAAAGAACTGGAAGACTTTTGTAAGGAAGAATGGGCAAAGATACCTCAAACAAGAATTGAAAGACTCTTGGCTGGCTACAAAAAGCGTTTACAAGCTGTGATACTTGCCAAAGGGGGCAGTACAAGATATTAACTCTGCAGGGTGCCCAAACTTTTGCAGACACCATTTTTTTGTTTTCTGTTATTTTGAAAGTGTAAATGATGGAAATAAAATCTAACTTTTGTTGACATATTATAAGAATGTCTAATCTGTAATTTGATGCCTTTTGGAGATTTTTCCATCTTTCCTTGGCTTCTTTATGCACATTAATACAAATTTTTAGCTGGGGTGCCCAAACTTTCGATCCCCACTGTATGTAACAAGTGGCCTAATTGACTAAAGCAGTATTCTCTGCATTTACTGTACACTGTATTGCCAAAACTTTTGGGACACCCCTCCAAATCATTGAATTCAGGTGTTCCAATAACCTCCATGGCCACAGACATATACAATCAAGCACTTCGGCATGCAGACTGCTTCTGCAAACATTTGTGAAAGAATAGGTTGCTCTCAGGAGCTCAGTGAATTCAAGCGTGGTACCGTGATAGGTTGCCACCTGTGCAATAAGTCCATCCATGAAATTTCCTTGCTATTAAATATTCCATGGCCAGCTGTTAGTGGTATTCTAACAGTGGAAGCAACTGGAACCAACAGCAACTAGGCCACAAAGTGGTAGGCCACGTAAAATGACCAAGAAGGGTCAGCGCATGCTGAAGCGCACAGTGCGCAGAAGTCACCAACTGTCTGCAAAGTCAATAGTTAAAGACCTCCAGATTTCATGTGGCCTTCAGATTAGCACAACAGCAGTGCGTAGAGAGCTTCATGGAATGGGTTTCCATTTCCGAGTAGTTGCATCCAAGCCTTACATCGAGTGCAATGCAAAACGCTGGATGCAGTGGTGTAAAGCACGCCTCCAATGGACTCTAGAGCAGTGAAGACATGTTCTATGGAGTGACGATTCACGCTTCTCTGTCTGGCAATCCAATGGATGTGCCCAGGTTTGGTGGTTGCCCAGAAAAGGGCACTTGCCTGATTGCATTGTGCCAAGTGTTAAATTTGGTGGAGGGGATTATGGTGTGGGGTTGTTTTTCAGGGTTGAGCTTGGCCCCTTGGTTCCAATGAAGGGAACTCTTAAGGCGCCAGCACACCAAGACATTTTGGACAATTTCATGCTCCCAACTTTATGGGAAAAGTTTGGGGTGGCCCTTTTCTGTTCCAACATGACTGCGCACCAGTGCACAAAGCAAGGTCCATAAAGACATGGAGGAGTGCATTTGGGGTGGAGGAACTTTACTGGCTTGAGTCCTGACCTCAACCCGATAGAACACCTTTGGGATGAATTAGAGCAGAGACTGCGAGCCAGGCCTTCTCTTCCAAAATCAGTGCCTGACCTCACAATTAGGCTTCTGGAAGAATGGTCAAACATTCCCATAGACACACTCCTAAACCTTGTGGACAGCCTTCCCAGAAGAGTTGAAGCTTTTTAGCTGCAAAGGGCGGGTCAACACAGTATTGAACCCTACCAACTAAGACTGGGATGCCAATAAAGTTCATGTGCATGTAAAGGCAGGCGTCCCAATACTTTTGACAATATGGTGTATGTAACATTTTGTTGGACAGATCAAGGCCTTAATACAGCTATCTTTGTCTAGGGCTCAAAAATGCCACCCCTATTCTCCTACTCTCATTTCTAACCTGCGTTGGATTCTGATATGCCGATCCTAGTGGATCCAGACACTGGACGGAATGGGGAGGAGACTGAGGAAATATTGGAGGAAACTGTGGAAGACTTTTCTTACCCAG